AATGACGCTGTCAGTAGTGTAACCGATCTGCCTACCCCAGCTCGATTTAATTTGGTACAATATTTGGATCTGGGTAAATTAACATGTTTGGTTAGGTCTACTTGTAACACACAGCAAATGGACGAGTGGCACATAGGCTATTTCATCCCCTCAAGAAGGAGTTTTAGCCCAAACTCTCCAATGAAAAAGACAATAAAAAAAACGACTGGTCAAGGCAGATGCGGAACGAAAGAGGAAGACCCCTCGCAGCTTGGTTCTTTAGAAAGTCACATGAAATTTTACTTGTCTGTATCCTTGGAGAACACAATAAGTGACAGTTTTGAACCCATAACTCAAAAGATGGATGGTCTCCCAACCCCAAGCCAAGCGTAACATTTGTCAAACTACTGACAGGTTTACGCTAAGTTTTAACGCCTAAATTCCCTGTAATCCCTAAATGGATTGGGGGAATACTTAATTAGTGTACTCCCATTTTTTGAAAATGACCAATCCTCGTAATTTCTGGAGTTGACTTGTGGACCGAGGCGACTCCGAGAGTTGCGAGCAGAAGGCATTCGAGGAGTTGTATTCAATATCTCGAACTATTCGGACGCAAATTCCGCAAGGGGAGTCTTATTCAAAATCCCAAACGATCCGGATGCAAATTCTAAAAAAGAAATCATTGGAAGGAGTCTTTTTAGCGATCTCAAACCTCGCGGACAGAAGTTGAATGTAGTGTGTTAGTGTCGTTCACTAGGGACAAGAATTTAATAAAGTGCCTGGTGAAACAAAGTGTGTGTGTGCGTGTGTTGTAATACGAGTTCCTACTTCCTTTCCTGAGCGAGACCCTGCCAAACGACCCGAGAACTGAATCTTAGCTCTACCGGCGGAACGGCAAAGCCAGCTGTAGCCGCTGTCGCCCGCAGCAGTCCAGCAGCCGGCGGCCGAAGATCAACAAGGTCAATGGGTGGGGCAGTTAGGACGTGGCGCTTCCATCCAGGGGCACCAATCATGTAGGAGACGATTAAAGTAGGTCCCCCTCGTTGGTGTCCCCACCTTATCGTGGTGAGGGGTTTGAGTATGCCAAGGACCCTGAGAGCTATACCAGCGGTAGCGTAGCTACTGGCAGGGCCTCCCTTGCTGGACAGGTCAAAGGGTAGGCATCAGACGAAGAGAGACACCAAAAACTGATGCGTCATCGGTAGCGACTTGAAGCACAGAGCAAATGATGCTCGAGATGGTTTAAGTTCGTATAGCAACAGGCGTGACCAGTGGGTTTGAACGGCTGCTGTACTGCGATGTGGAAAGCAAATGGAAAAACTACCACATTATCACTTTTCCTGGATAGTCTCTTTCCAAAAACAGAGATACCATGTATGCGAGATGTTTCCTCTGGAGA